CCAAAATCCTCTTATCCACGAAGTAAGTAGTCCAGGCTCTCCACCTTACCTACCATGCCTACCCCCACCCTCCACCCCCAATTTATTTCCTCTCCCCTCTGCGTGACCCATAAATGCTACGCCTACGTCATTTGAGGTCAGCTGGAAGCCACTTCTACTTGTCCATCGCCAGGTTGGAAGTGTGTTCTAAGGTCATGCCTAAAAGGCCAATTTAAAGCACCACAATCACTACAAGTTGTCAACTGCCATATCACCTTGCATTGGAAGAGGGGAGCAGTAATGGATCGCCTTAAAAAGCACTGGAGACAAGATATGTCTCAATTTTAATAAATTATGCATTATGTGCATTTGCCCCTCGACTTTGTTTACGATCCCCTGCGTGGACACAAAGCCATGGACGAGTGAACTGACTTCAGGCCACGTCGACAGTTCGCATTTCCTTCCGTTGGTCGAATACGCTTCGTTTCTACAGTCAAAGTATTGTCCCATCTTTTGCCTTTTAAAGAAAATTATAGCATAGTCAAATTTAAAAAGATATTCATATTTTTTTTTAACAAAACGAAGCGAACGGTAATGATGGGCAAGAAGTCCATACGGTAGGTGTAGGGAAGGCACTTATTTCCTCTTAACGAGGGAGCTGGTAATGTGACGTCTTCGTTCTCGACTCCTGCGAAGAGACTTCCACCAACACAAGTGTAACCACCTACGAACCGTTTGCTAACCTCCCGTTTCACTGCCTCGTCTTCCGCGCCTGCGTACGCGCAAACCAATCGCCGCGACCATTGTGCCACCTTCAATGCGGCCTCGCACCAATCTACGCCTGTGTTGCTGCTTCCACGTTTGTCCGTTGACTCGTATGATGGTCCACGGAATCCCCTCCTCTTCAAATGCACATTGCTAACCCAACAGGACTGCAAATGCAGCCGATCCAGTAGGATGACGAAGAGAAGTAGACGGCAGTGTGGTCGAACGTGATCTGCGTTGACGACTGACACGGATGTTTTGTGAGTGTGTTGTCACAGAGCATCGACCCCAAAGTGATGTTGGACGGGAGGGATGAGTGGAGAGGAGGTGTTGACAACGTGGTTCAAAGGAGGGCGGGGGAGGGAAATAAGTGGAGCCTTTTCTTACTTGGGTGATCACATTGTCCTTTCCTGCTTTCCTTTGTTTTTGCTAAAGCAAATTGCTATGCCTAAGCGTTCCTTTGCCTACGAATCCTGTTTGCAGGCCAATCAAAACTTCAAATTCATTTGAAGTTGGTGAGAGAGATGGGTGACGTTGATCTCATGTACTTCCTCGCATTCTTATAGGAGTTGGTTTTCCACCTTCCTCCCTCCACATCATGAAGCCTGACGAGGAGAGACGAATTTTTATCGACAACAATATCGAGCACATAGCTTAAAAGAAAAAAAGAGTCTCTGTTAATTTAACTGTCGGTTTTAATTACCGCCAATTTTGTTCACACATTGTCTTGGCTGGGTGGATTGGCCTCTGTGTCATGGCACAGATCCACACAAATTGTCTTCTTTTGCCCTCAAAAAATCGTCCAAAGGCTACATTCCGTGCGGTGCAGTGGACTCACGCCTTTACTCAGTTATGTCGGCATCCATATTCTATCATTAACTTTTATTTATCTGTCATTTGAGTACTCAAATAACCAAACATAAATTTGCCGTGTTATAAGTCGTCATCCACCGAAAATCAGTCCAAAGAGGCTGCAGAAGCGAAGGTGAATGGAACTTTCTCATACAAAATAGTGTCTTGGAGACCTCCTTGAAGACAAATGTTGACTAAAAAGTTTGTATTGGACGGGATGAAAGGCAAATTAGAATTGTTGGTCATCTCATCCACAGTCAGGGCAATGTGACCACCCGAGTTACACCAATCGAGACCCTCACTTAAACAAACAAAATGCTCCACTCTTTTCCCTCCCCCGCCCTCCTTTGAACCACGTTGTCAACACCTCCTCTCCACTCATCCCTCCCGTCCAACATCACTTTGGGGTCGATGCTCTGTGACAACACACTCACAAAACATCCGTGTCAGTCGTCAACGCAGATCACGTTCGACCACACTGCCGTCTACTTCTCTTCGTCATCCTACTGGATCGGCTGCATTTGCAGTCCTGTTGGGTTAGCAATGTGCATTTGAAGAGGAGGGGATTCCGTGGACCATCATACGAGTCAACGGACAAACGTGGAAGCAGCAACACAGGCGTAGATTGGTGCGAGGCCGCATTGAAGGTGGCACAATGGTCGCGGCGATTGGTTTGTGCGTACGCAGGCGCGGAAGACGAGGCAGTGAAACGGGAGGTTAGCAAACGGTTCTTAGGTGGTTACACTTGTGTTGGTGGAAGTCTCTTCGTGGAAGTCGAGAATTGGGTGTTGGTCAAAA